CTGCTGAAGTCATAATTCTTTCTGTCTTGGGGAAGAATGACGTTTGTCTGTATCATTTTGACGAGAACACTGAGTATTTAATCACAGTTTGGTTTTTTTAAAATTTTACCTCTGTTTTTCTAGCTGCCTTGAATTGCAGAATTCTTTGAATCATTGGGAAAGGAAAACGGGGTTGAACTGATTTGCAGTTGGGATTTATCTTTTTTTCTTCCTTTTTTTTTTGGCAAATAAAATCTTGCTTTGAAAATACCTCAATTTACGAAGTGAAATAGAATAGAAAACTGCCTATGGTATACAATTCAGAAGTCTAGTTTGTTTTTCTTGTTCTGCCTAATGAGTAGTCTGTTTCAGTTTGAGAATTACTTGTATAAGTGAAAGCAATCAAACTCTTACTTATGCTTGTTATCTAAGCATTCAGTTTTGTTACCAGACAAAAGACAACTAAATAAATAAGCCTGTATTTCTGGTTTCTGAAAGCAAATTTCAATATCACAGCTTGTGGAGTTAAGGAAACCTGATCTGTCTTAATAGTCATTCTTGCTCAGAAAACCAAACTTTGATAACCTGGCAAAAACTTGCATTTGCTGCATTCACAGCTGTCTGAAATGCAGCTTGAGTTTCAGATCCCCAGCACTGTGCAGCAATTCAGGGTGATGAGAAATGCCAAGAAATACAGTTCTCTATTGAAATGACAAGGAGAGCTTGTTGTAGCTAAAAGGTAATGCAATATTAATTAAAAAAAACAAAACAAAAAACACATTCCCTCCTTACATGGTGGGGGCTAGGCTTTTATTAATGATAAGAATTAATAGCTTTCATTTGGTTTATATGCTGTCTGGCAAGATCCTAAGCCCCCAACATTGTATACTGACCCATGGATCAGGCACCTATCCTTGACTGCAGCACCTGGGATTTGCCCTGAGACCTTCTCTTTATTCAACTGTCAGGCAGGCCCAGCCCAGGTTTTAGCTGCTGAAATCTAGCAAGATAATCCAAGGTGACATGGCTGTAGAACAAATCAAATTTCCCTTTAAATTTTAACTTGAATGGAGTCAGGTTCACGTGTATTTCTATTCAGCAACTAAACAAGGGTAGTTCTGTATGATTTTTAGTTTAAATGCATTAAAGAGGTTCTTTTCAATTGAAATGTTGTGTTTTCTTTTTTAGTCCTTACCATGTTTTAAGGATAACTTAAACTGATTATCTGTATCAGTAAAGAATACAGATAGTTCTGATGGACTATCTGTATCAGTAAAGAATACAGATAGTTCTGATACGTGTTAATTCCTGCTTGAACTTGTTTGTTAGTCCCTTCTGCAGAGTCATCTATGGTTTTTCTAGGTTTTTGTGTGCATTGTATCATACTGATTGGAACACAGTAATATCAATCAGAAATTGTTCTGGGAATTATTTCTTAAGTTCTTTATAAATTGTTCTGTTTACTGGTTAATAGTTATAAAACTATAAAGAAGAAGCCTCAAAGCTGAAATGAAAAAGTCAACTGATCCTTTGTGAAATACTTTGTTGTGAAGTCTCATTTTTCAAGGATTTCCTCGCAGAAATCTGAAGTGTGCTTATAGTGAAATATGCAGTACACTGAATTTGCTGCTTATCTAGCATGGCAGACTTAATACAGTAACTTACTTGTTGTAATATGCTTAGGGATGGATCTTTATTCAAACTAGCATCTCTTGTGTTGTGCTAATGCTGCAGCGATCGTCTGTAAGTAGGGCAGGATTTGTAAGGAGAGGAAATACCTTTATTTAAACCAACTGATACAGATGAAAAAAAGAAAAAAAAAAAGAGCTTGCTGGTACAAAGCACAGAAGGGCTGAAGAAGGGCTCATGTGATCTTGAGCCTTTTGTGTTGTTTGTTTTTTCCCATCTGTATCAGTTGGTGTATGATTATGCCCTAACACAGATTCTGTTTTCTCCTGTTTTCACTTTTCTCTTCTTGTCTCACTTTTATTTAAACAGTTGGAAAAGAATCTTTAAAAACATTGGATCTAGAAATCTTAAAAGACGAGAAATGACAATGTTAGTTCAAATCTTGCTGTTTCAAACACCTACAGTTAAATAAGCAGATCCATAAGATTTTATTAATGTTTTTTGCATTTTAAATGCAAAATGCATTACTCAATGCATACAGTGCTTTTAAACTGAAGTTGGATACTCTCAGAAAGGAAAAGCTTCTGGGTTTGAGACATTAAAAATAGCCTGAGCAGGACACTAATGAAACATACTGTAGAGAGCAATCTCAGAATGGCATGGAAATAATTTAGATGATCTAATAGGTCTCACTGCTATCTTGTGAGTATTTGAGAGGCTTTAATATTGACTCAACATGAGTTTAGTAACACCATCCCCTTTCATAGTGTAATGGACCTTGAGAAAAAGAGGTACTGTGTTAAAATATACCTTCAAAACAACTTAAAATAATATGAACATGATAATAGATACCAGTCACAGTTTGGAACCCCCTGTCTCTTGGAAATAATGCCTGTCTTTAAATGTTCAGAGCAGCAGGTTTTTGATCCTGCAATAAAATTATAAGTAGGGATTCTTCAAAATGTAACAAAATCCATTCTCAGTTTGTACTGCTTGACCAGGGTGATTAGCTGTTCTAGCCTTGGATTTCTTTAGGAGAGTAATAGTTATGTTCTTGGGTTGTCTTGCTGTATGAAATAGTGTTTCCTGCTTGAGGTTCAAAGTAGATCTTAAGTATCATTGATTCGGTACATTCAATATTACATTTAATGCTTTTGATTGGCATTTCCCCCCCTCTTTTAAGGTATATTTTTATCCCTGCTCAAATCCTCTTCCTTTGCTGAGCAGCTGCCATTTCAATATGTTATTTTTATCCATGCGAGCGAGTGTGCTGCACGCTGTGGAGCCAATGACAGCCTGCAAAGCCTTTCCCTGGAGACTAATTGCATCTTCTTTACAATGTGTTCGGCCTTCGTGAGCTGAGCCTGAGATCCAGAGACTGATTTTTGAATCTGGGTCTTCCAGATGGCAATTTGAGCTTTACTGTAATAGTAGTAGATTGACTAAATATTTCCTTGTTAAGTGACACTGAAATGTCTTTAAATACTTTATAGCCACAGGCTGTTTTATTATTGAAATATCCTATGGTTCAGTTTGGGATATAAGGTTATTGCCTGGAAATCGTGCAAGGTGAAATGGATTAAAAAAGTAGGCCAGTACATCTGCTTCTAGCACTGCAAAAAAACTGTAGAACTTGGATGTGAATAGCTCAGTATCTGCACAAATGCTGTGAGTGTGAAGTAAAGACTAAAGACTAAACATATCTACACACACACAAAAAAGGACGGTTTTAGAAGTAGCATAAAGTCAGAGTATACATATAGACACCAGGAGAGAGAGTCAAGTAGCAGCTCTAAATTTCAGAGATGAGAAAGTCAAAACGATGAGAACTGGCACCATTCAGTTCTCTGAGCAAGTGGATGCTCCTTAACTGTATTTTAAAAGAAATCATCAGCCTCTTAATATTGATCGGAAAACTATTTCAGATCTTAAAAAAATAGGTAATTCTTGTAAAGCCTTCTTTGATGAATGGTGTCAAAGTATTTTTGACAGCATTTTCTGAATATCAGATAAGAAACTGAACTAGTTGTTTCTTTTCTAGCTGCAGGGATTATGCAACATATTCATATTAATTGAGTAGAATGGGCCTGTATGATCCAGAAAATTAATGAGGATCTGTTAAGAATCAGTCCCAATTTTTGCCAAGGGCTAAATAAAATAACAAAGGCTATGATTCTTTTTGATTAAGTAGTTCTTTGTATATGCACAGGGTAAAATCTGAGCTATTTTTAAATGAAAAATAATAGACGTTGAGGTTTTTCTTAAATTTTAAAACCAACATTGTTTTCATAGCAGTGAGGAATGCTTGAGCTTGGTGGCTTAGAGCAACCTTTCTTCCCTGCTTCTGTTCTGTGAGAAGAGGCAGATGATCTAGTTGTTGAGTGCTGAGAGTCACAGGCCACTGGCCAATGTGTCCGTCTGTACTGGCACTGCAGTCGCCTTCAATCCTCTGCTGCCTATTCTACTTCTGAGAGCAGCATCAGTGATTGATCTCCCTTGTCTGCCTTGTCTCAGAACAATCTTACCTAGGAATTACTCTTTTGCAATTTTTTTATTGTATCTAACTTAGGATAAAATGCAGAAAACTTTTCCCTTCTACTGCATCAGGCTGTTGACAATTTTTTGTAGCCGATTAATGTTTTCTGCTCAGGGTCTCCTTGCATTTTACCTCCTGTGCAGTAACTGGGAAGGGCTAACAGGATTTACAGATGTGAGTGCAGATTAATTAAGAGTAAAATAAATTGTTTTATTACCTGAAAAGATTGCTGAACTGAGTCTAACAGCAATAAACTACAACCTGTGCTGGTGGAAATGTGATGGGGCAAATGGTTTGGAATCAGCAGCTTCCATTCCTGTTGCAATCATCTATTTTTTGGGTTAGAAGTGTGGTAACTTCTATTACCCAGTAAGGGCATGCTCCTTGCTTTCCAAATGCAACCAGTATCTGACATTTTGGGGCAATATTCAATACTTTAATTTTTTAGTCTTTGGTATTCTTGTATCAAGATAGGCTGAGGGAATTGGGGCTGTTCAGCCTGGAGAAGACTCCTGGGGTCAGTGACCTTCCAGTACCTGAAAGGGGCCTATGAGAAGGCTGGAGAAGACCTGTTCACAAGGGCATGTCATGCTAGGACAAGGGGTCATGGTTTCAAGCTAGAGAAGGGTAGATTTAGGTTGGACATAAGGAAAGAGTTCTTGACTATGGGGGTAGTGATCACTGGAACAGGTTGCCTAAAGAGGTGGTGTAGGCCTCATCCCTGGAGACATTCAAGGTCAGGCTTGATGGGGCTCTGAGCAACCTGTTCTAGTGTGAGATGTGCGAGTCTGTGATTCTGTGTCCCTGCTTATGAGGGGGTTGGACTAGATTGCCTTTATGTGTCCTTTCCAACCCAAGACATTTTAATGCTTTTTTCCCCCAGTTCCTCTCTTGGCAATTGAAGTGTTTGTTGATTTATCCCTAACTTTCCAGTGTTTGGGGTTTACCAGAGCCTTTATTTAGAAACAGCCAACCATCTAGTAAGAAAATGAAATCCCCAGGGCAACAGGAGTGAACAGGAATCTGCTGTTAATAAATCCTGAGATCAGACCAGAGGTTGGATTCTAGCCTTGCCTAGAACTAATCACAACCATACATCATGTATGATTTGGCTATTATCTAATAAACTTCCAGCTTTCTCTTTTAAATTGACATTTGGTTTAATGGCTTGAACCAAACGCTGCTTCGCCAGCCGTGCCGAATTTGACGAGGCTTAAAAAAGGGCAAAAACTTGATTTGGAAGAAGAGGAAAAAAAAATATAATAATAGAATATATAATGCCTTTAAACCTGCAAAAACGCCAAGGCTTGAACAGAGAGGATAATGCAGCCAGAGGTTAAAATGAGCCGCGGTTCCCGAGGCTGCCGAACCGCCCCGGGCGGCCCGGCCCGGAGTCCTGCGGGGGCAGCCCC